CAGAAAAAATACCTACTAAAGTTAGATCAAACAATTCTAAATGGATGCAGATATTTCATGACTAACTGCGCATTTCAAAATATATCACTTTATTTTACTTTAACAGGGGGAAATAATTTGAATTGTCGCAGATATGTACAGTAACAACTATTGTTATTGCAGACTATAAAAAAATTTTTGTAGATAAGAACCGTCTACAATAGTTTATAAAAAAAAAACTTTGGAATATCGGTAATTTGCTACAGGAAAATAGATGTAAATATGTTGATAGGAGATTGGACATAAACACGTAGTATTAAAATTGGTACTGTTTTATGAAAACAAAACTTACTCTCTTTCGGTGTAGTTTTCTGTAGTTTCTGTGCAATCGCTGTATATCCCTCACACTTAAGAGAATCGATAAAAGTGTTGTAAGCATCTCTGCTCGCCGAAGACGTCAGTAGTTTGATAAACTCATTAAACTGTCTGTGTGGCGTCGGCTTAGAGATCTGCTCAATCTGTGCTCTGTGATCAAATCGAAAAACACCATTTTCAATCAATCTGTCGATGATTGGGTCCAAGTCCACCAATCTTTCTTTTAAGTAGGTCAAATTCTGGATAATTTTGCTTTTTTCGTCCTGATTCATTTTGTATATGATCTTAAAACGATTAAATTTGCTTCAGATCATAATGTTCCTTTGCTAAATTTTTTTATCCGTGATCAGAGAAAAATCTGCCACATCATCCTGTAAACATCGCCTGCAGTGGTGAGGTAATCTCTTAATATGTGTTTTTTAAAATGTCGTCCATCCACTGGTTTAGAAATACCCACATTGACTCGATCTGACATAAAGCACACAAAATACCCCGGGTATATTAGATATGTTATAAACAGCTGTTAATTCTTAAGACACAGCAATGCTTCGCTTGTTTTAAATCACAGTATTGATCACACATGTAGATATCGTCTTTAGATTCCATACAATATCTATAACAATGAAGATATAGCACTGAAACTCCGACCTTTACAAATATCTTTGTCGCGTCTTTATATGAACACGCGAACAGCTTTATAGTACTGCAGAATATTGGACCTTATTATTACTGAACTTTAATGAGCCTAGATTGCCTCTGTTCATGATAATTAAATCAGAAATAAGTTGTATAACATAAGTCAGCTTCACTACAGCACTGGCCATTTTTTCTGCATAATGGATTAACTTGTAAACCAACACTGAAATAGATATGCATGTCCTGTTTTTTAACGGTTCTCATCAAAATAGATTGATCAAAAGATTTTCAAAACTCTGCATGTATTTTTTCAAACGGAGCTATTTGATAAAGTTTCAATTACACGTAATTAAACTGAATAACTAAAATTGGGACTATATATTCAAATATAATTATATATTGATATATATACGTATCTGATTACAGTCGTGCATATTAGCACGACTGTATATTGTACTTATATGCATACCTATCTACCTTAGTGTATGTATCATACTGTGTAATTACACTGTTCGAATATCAACGTTTGGAAGCCATGTGCCAATTCGAACACAATTAATTAATATAAAGTGTCAGAGTACATGATTTACTTTTTTCATTAGAATTGAATTAGAATTGAATTAAACTGTTACAAATAAAACCTGTTTTCCTAAATCCATATCGATAAAACGAGAACAAGATATAATGTCACGTTCTCAAAATGAGAACAACACCGTCAGAAAATTATTCATTACCATAAACAGATTCAGCGTCTCCCAGTATCTGCAAGAAATTCTTCCTCAACGTAACAACAGCATCTGTGACAATAAAATTCGTTTTGGTAAGAATTTTCGTCCTCTCTCTTGTCTAACAATCCTTTATATGAACTATTTTCTGTCATCTGTAATACCGTAGGTCTCTGGAATTCTTTGCCTGATACAGTGAAAATCGATCCGTCAATAACAAAACAGAAAAATCATTTAAATGCACCTGACATAAAGTTCACTTTATTTCTGTAGCGGTAAGGTAAACTGAGTAAGATTCACCTTGTAAGATTGAGGAGGGAGTACAGTTTTTTTTAGATTTTATCTGTTTTGTAGAAATCTTACGAACAGTACACTGTGCACATGTAAAGAGGAAGACGAGACCAACAAATTCTATATTTCATTGTTGCCTTTTTTTTTCTAAGATTCACAAACGTCTCATTAGTATTCTACGCATCCCTATTTCAACCGGAATACTACTGTTCGCTGACAACAAGCGTACTAATCACGCAAATTCGTCAAATGTTACATGGATTCAAAACTTTGTTATCAGTTCCAAATGTGTTTGTTTATTGTTCCAATACACAGCTGCTTCAACATGTTACAGTTCCCTTACAAAATTTGAATATCATGACATAAGTAACTTTCCTCTCGTATCAAGTACAATCTCACTATTTCACTTCCTCATTTTTATGCCCTACTTTTTTTTACAAGAGTCAACGTATACATGTCCACTTTCCATCTTAATGCCGTGTTTTTTTAAAAAAATGAATGTGTCTTAGAAAAGGAGACGGATTTATAGATATGTTGAAAAAATTCTAAATCTGATTCAAATGCGGTTGTATATGGTATGTACATATTTATAAACGAATTAAGTTTTTTTTTTTTTTTTTTTTTTATAAAAACAACAAAATCGGACACGTCCAACTTCATATCCAAAAAAGGGATACGGTATTTCCATATGAGATGATGATGGCGATTATGAAACTTTCCCATAACCTTTATCTGCTTTCGTCTTCTGAATCTCTTTGTTTAGGCAAGTAAAAAAATATTGCTATCTAGAAATGGAAAATTCGACAATGTCGTGCTTATCATACAGTGGTAACATTACAGAAAATCTAAATCAATGTCTTGCTAACTTAAGTAAAAAAAGAGGTTTCGGCGATCTATAAAATGAAACTGACCGACTTGGTAAGATCTTGGTGACCTATTTTGATACAAGCTCTTCAATATGTTATGCCTCGTATACAAGCCTAGGTATACTTAAACATTATCTGTCGGACTATTTTATGCCACCAACCTCTACAGAAATATGTTTAAAAATTGAAGACAGTATCTAGATCTCTATAAATGAATATACATGAACAAATTAACATATAAAATACATTTTATTTTACATAAATGTGTAGTTCCGGATAACAACATTATCAGTCCGGTTTTTACCTCAGCCTTTTTAAAATGTGGATGTATATCCTGCCTAGAAAATCTTGGGGAATGTGTTTTGGTGAAGTCAAACGCCATCCTTTTGTCGTTCTTTCTAGATGCAGTTAGCGTAGATGGCACTACCGTACCGTTTAAAAGTTTGTATTTGTTTTTGTGTTTTTGTTTTTCTAAATCTTATTGCGATATCCCTTCAATACATTAGCTATAATATATTTGCACGTCACAAATATAACAAACTGTTAAAAAAAACCTTATAATTATGTGGGTTAAGACACTAGGCCCAGTCTAGTGGATAATTCTCTAGATTCAGTTTTTTTTCACTCATCCGTGAAGTCATCGAAGTATCTTTTCGCCATCGTGATCTAACCTTACCCACCTATGACCCATATCTTCTATGCCGTTGATGAGAACAGAGACGTCTCAGTCTTGTGTGACCCTAGCACAGACCGACCTGACAGAGCCACGGACTTTCAATATCACAGACTTTAATATTACTTATAGGTTAGAGACATGTAATAAATAATAAACTTATATGAACCAATCAGAAAATCGTTCAGCTTTAAGCCAACTATTCAAAGAATATTTTCTCCAAATTTCGGGCTGAAAGTGGCATACAGTATCGGGTGGTTTTTCACTGTATAATAGCTTAATTGTGCTTTTTTTTATTTCATAACAATAAAAAAAATGTATTTGTCATAAATGTTAGCAGAAGCAATTTGAAAATTATCAAGCGTTCTACTATGGTCTACTGTTTATCTAAAATAAAGTCAGTTATGTACGTACAGCAAGGCTGCACCTGAAGTTTTCGCGATATTTTTATATATATCGTTACAAAGCGAACAAGGCAGTTTAAAAATTCTGAACATCTGTGAGTCACGTAAAAACTAATTTGGTTACGCTAAAGTGATTTTAACTTATTGATAGAAGTTGTGTATGACTACCGAGTATACATCTTTATAGAATTAAATGACCGGTTTATTTTTTTTTATATGTATATATTATGCATAAGCCCCTTACTCATTATAAAAATATACAATGGGGTTAATATGAGATATGCTAATATCACAATTATGATATAAAATGTGAATAATCTCTTAAATCACTATTAGTATGATGCATGTGTTTCGGTGTCTGTTGTTTGTTGTTTACAAGTGTCAATAATTGAAGGACTAGTCTCCTTCGCGCAAGAATAGTAATAAGGTGTAACAAGGTGCGGAAGTGTTCAGTGGCGGATGAATATTCTTCAATCAGCACGATTGATTTATCCAACTATTTGTGAAGGTTTGTATATATTTTGAAGTTTAAACAACATTTTTTCACTTCTCTGCTTTCGTTCTCGCCATCGAGGTTTTACTTTATCATATTTGAGGTGTTAGAAGATCACAGTTACAGCGCAAGTCACAATTTTATTTACAAAGCAATGCGCATGTCGCGATCGCCATTTTGTTTATGGCTCAAAAACTGATCCCAGGCCTAACGAAGACATAATTCTCCTCGTTTGCTCGATTTTGAGTCGCTCATAGTGCAATCATAATAAATTAGATTATGTCAGCAAGCTAACAACAGAGTGTTTGAAGCCCAAATAACTTCGAATAGTCAAAAATTGACCAACAATCGCACCAATTCCAAACCTGTTCTTCCTCTGATGCTTTGTAACTAGAGGTGCGCGCAAGCCCAAGCGCAGTCGCATTGTTTGTTGTATGATTCCCAACCCTTTGCGCATGTTGACAATCTTTCGCGCAGACGAAGTTGCCCCTGTTCATCGTAAACAAGAAATCTGTCTGTGTCGTTTAATACAACAAGAATCAGTTCGATATGCAATATATTAAGACCCTTGTTTTCCACGCCTGTCTGACCATAGTCCTACCGAAAACTGCAAATATGGCGGCCGCAGGCTCAGAGATGTTAGTTACATTAATGGCATTAATACGCTAACATACACACCCTTACAAAACCTAACGTTTACACTTTTCGTGTCTCCGAATAAAATTATCTTTTTATTTAGCATGCCCTGTAAGTAAAACTCTTATAGGTTTTCACCATGTGGAAACCTCGGCTTCATATATTGACCCATCACCCTCACACCGAGCTTCCAGGTTTCCATGTCAGATTTGTCGTTAAGAGCCAATTATTCTTGGTATATTGTTGATTTCTCAATTATGCATTTGAAAAGGAAAATGCACAGTGATTTTCTGAAGTGGTAAAATAGAATCGGATGAATAGGAATGGGATCTATTTCATTTCTGTTTGTCACCTTGTGTCATGATTTCAACCAGTTGATATATAACCCTGTTCTAATCAATTCAGTTCTCAAGTCAAATAAAGAGATGGTTTTAAAATGCATGTAGAATTTTTGTTGACATTATTCTTGTACAATTTGGTAACATAGAATCTGTGTTTGCCTTCTCATAACCAGCCTTTGGCAAATGATATCTGATGATAAGAAAATATTTAGTTGGAGAAATTTCAAGATAATTAACATCCTGCTAAATTCATGTGTGTTGTGGTTTATTTTCTAGACTTTAGGAGGATACCTAGTTGTATACAGAGGTCTCTTAAAACTAGTTGTAGAAGATGAAAAAATATAAACTATTGGCCTATACCTGTTTTCAGGAGTTGGTACTGTTCTTTTTAATTTGTTTGGCAAATGATGTTAATGTCCATGTACGGTTTATATATATGCAAGTCCAGTAAAAACTTGCTACTGTAGTACTGAGTATGGGAGAAATTCCCTTCTAATAGATCCAATTCTAGCCAATTAAATGAGACCCTAGGTCTGTAACTGTAGTTGACCATACAAGTTCAACCCCTAACACTATCACTGAAAACTGAGGTATTCTTTTTGTATTTATGTTTGGAAGCCTTTAAGATATTGCATCACAAGAACAGCAGATTGACACATGGTATGATTATCCATAAAAATAGTGACCTCTTTGTGGTATTGTACATGCATCAGGCGGGGAAAAATGTTCAACGAGACTGGTTCAAATCCAGGACCCTTCAAACTTGAGAAAAATTCTCTTAACATATTAACATTGAATTACCAGGTCACCTGGGTACATGTAAATATGAATATATTTTGTGCTGGGAAATAGTTCAAATATTTTGTGCTGGGAAGTATTGAACTATTAAAACGATATAATTTAGTATTCTTTCCTAAATATCAGCTGCTTCCTTGTAGTAATGTCAAATTACATTACCATTAGATCAATGATATTTAATAGGTTTGATCCCAAGCATATTAAAAGAAATTTCAGTGTTTTATACTGTACATGCTACCAAACTGCAGTGTCCGTGTAGTTCCTCAGTTTAAGATATTGTACACAGTACATACTAACTGGAGTGTGCACATTTCCGAATTGACTTGGGAAATGTATTAAAAGCAGGCAATTTATTTTGGGAAATCTTTTGCCTTATCAATGTATTGCAGACAGGTACTGATAAGTCATCACTGACCAAATGGGAAAAAATTGTGTGTTAAAAAGTTTGAAAACAGAAGATGCAGTTGTGACTATTTGGTATGACTTTTTGCCTGTGCTGTAATTGTTGTGTTTTGCAACTGCTTTGGATGTTCTTTGAACTGTCAGCCGGTTACCACAATGAGTGTATCATATCAATCTTTTAAAATAACCAGCACACACATTGCCCAAATCCAAATGCATGTGAAAAGACACTCTGTTGTGGAAAAGGAAATAATTAACTGTTTATATGTAGAGTTTATAAATCCCCCCCCCCACAAGGTGTTATTCTTTTTAACTATATAAGTTTATATGAAATTCATCTTCTCCAAGATAAGTATTGCTGTTTATGTTGAACAGGTTTGTAAAGCCAGTATGTGTGAACAGAGGTGAGTTGTTGGCGTTGTACAACAATGAACAATCTCCATGTTACATCGACGGGAGGAATGACAATCTGTAACATGAACAACTCTAACACAGTGACGATTAACACTTCTCACATGAACAGTCACATGAACTCTGGCATGATTAGCGATGACATCAGTGAGCCAAGTTCTCCGGAGAGCTCACAGTTCGATGCCTCTGATCTCCTACGCAATGCGGTCACAGACGATGTAACTGCTCAGCTGGCAGCAGCTGGTAAGCAGTATCTTCATTAACATTTTCACTTTGTTGTTTGAAATCTTATGTTGTAGCAAATTTTTCTGCTTTCTTAATTCATATGTTGGTGAAATCTGTCAGAGAAAACATTTTGTTTTACACAATTATTGTATTAAGCAGTTCTTGCTTAACTTGTGTGAAATTTTAATTGTATGGATAAATATTTTATTTTGTCTTTGCAATGTATCCCTGAAAATAAAACTGGTCAGTACAAGTGTTTCTTGTTGTCTGCGTTACAGGTACTATTGGAATAGCAGCTGCTGCAGCGATTGCCTCCAGTAAGAAACGGAAACATCCACATCATTTTGAAACAAACCCCTCAAAACGGAAACGACAACAAACAAGATTACTAAGGTTTTTCATTTGTTTACATAAAAAGATTTAAGAATGCTTTTTTGGCATTTCCACAGGCATAGGTTATTATTTTATAAAACCGACAAGATAAGAGGATTTATTCTCCAGCAATTTTTTTTGTCTACCTTATCCGCAGTCTGAACTTCAATAAAATCACCTTGCTGTATAAGTTTTATTATTGGATAAGAATGACAAACTATGAAGCAATATATTAATGTCGGTCATAGCATAGCAATTAGCTGCATATTTTTATATTATTATTATTCAGGAAATTGAAGGCTACCATTGATGAATACACAACACGTGTGGGGCAGCAAGCTGTAGTGTTATGTTGTACACCTGGTAAACTCAGTCAGTCTGTCCAGTCCTTCAAAGTGTTTGGATCACAACCATTAGAAAATGTGGTATGTATGTGACAGAAAATATCTGTTATTGTTTTTCTTAAAATTCCTATTGTATTTAGAAATACAAAACTAACAATTGCAGTTAACTTTTATTGCATGAAAGAAAGTAGAGTTGTGTTTCCTGATACAGATGTGATGAGTTCTTACTATGTCTACAAGGTTTAGAAAGTTTAATATAGATCTTGAAAATGTACATATTGTTATGTGCATTTGAGAACATGGTCTAGTAAAATGTCTTGTAGATATTGTAACTTGAAGTCATCCCAAAGCTGATTGTGAAATGCAAATATTTGAATGAAAATCTTATGTATTTTTATAGGACCAATCGTTCAACATCTAAATGAGAAATTTCAGAAGTACAGCGTTAAGGACTGATTTTTGTTTTGTTTTTAAACATGTGATGAAAACATTTTTTCTTTTTTTTTTTTTGAAAAAACTGCCAAATATTTTAGGAAGGAGTAAGCTAGGATTACTGTTGTCAATCTTGTAGCAATATTGAATGAATCTTGAAAAACAAATCATATAAAATTTCATTCTTTCACAATACAATAGTTTTGCTAATGCGTTCCTGCTTATAAAATTGACTGATGTGAATATGCAAAGGCAGCAAATATTTATTTATACTGTACTCACCTTTAGAATCAGTAAAAATTTGAAGGCTAACGTAACCTTTTGTTCACTTAACCTTTTGCTATATATTTCATTTTTTGTTTATGTAGGAGCTATAGAGTATTTTAATGATAGATATCCTGGGTGTGCTTGATACAGACTCATTCTAGGCTGATTGATACAAGTTGACATAGACTCTGATTTTATCATATCATTTAAACGTGCAGAGGAGAGAAGGAGGCAGTCAAATTGGAAACTTTGTATTTCTTGAAGTGTTATTGTCCACCTCTTGCAAATGTTATTAAACTGAGAAAGGGTGTGTAAATGACAGTGTTTCATTTTAAAGCTACGGAGCAACAGAAATGTTGTGATGCAGGAGCTAGAATCTTCTTTAGCAGACCAGGCACCTCCAGCTAATAATGAGAGTACTGGATTACATGAGTTACCTCCCTTAGTTATTGATGGCATTCCAACACCTGTTGACAAAATGACACAGGTAAGCACAGATTGGGAATTATACTTATTTTAGTGATTGTTCGGTTTTGTGAATGTGCTATGATACTACTGTTCAGCAATATTAGTCCTACTTTGTTATCAAAACACAAAGTTGTGTTCTCAACAATATTGTTATGTGTTGAGAAATTTCATTAATCTTTTTTAATTTTCTTGTCAAATAAAAACAAAAAATTTTCAATGGAAGAATTGTTTAAGAATGATATTTAGGATTTTCCTGGCTTAAAAATTCAAATCAGGGGAAGAAACTGTGTTCACTTGTCTGTTATTTGAATAAAACTGAAAACAAGTCTATGTTTTAACAATAACAGAACACTGACTATTACTTAGGTAGAAGCTCAATACTAACATAACCAACTTGCCTTTTAAACATTTCTGTACTAAAAGAATTTTATAATTGAATCTTCACACATTTGTAATTTAAATATTTCAGGCCCAGCTGAGAAACTTTATTCCTGAAATGCTTAAATATTCAACGGGTAGAAGTAAACCAGGATGGGGGAAAGAAGAGAGCAGACCTATCTGGTGGCCAAACGATTTGCCATGGGCTAATGTTCGCAGCGACGCCAGGACAGAGGACGAAAAGAAAAGGGTAATGAAGGGAAATTAATTCAGTGTGGATAAAATTTCTATCTCCTAATGCTGATAATCTGATAATGATTGTTCTAATACCAGAAAGTATTTCAAATTTCTTTCTTTTACAAATTATGCCACAATATGGCTTGATATATATGTTTCTCTGACATTTTAAATTGCATGTGAAATGGTGTTGGATAAATCAACATTCATTTGCAGGTATCATGGACAGATGCCCTTAGAAATATTGTGAAGAATTGTTACAAACATCACGGCAGAGACGACCTACTACAGGTGTTTATGGAGGAGATGCCTGGAATGATGCAGGTGCAGACAGGCACAAACACAGCAGCATTTGGTGGCACCATGGTGCAAACGATTAACAACCCAGATGGCACGGTGTCCATTATACAGATTGAAACAGGCCCACAGTCTGTGGTCACACTTCCAGATGGTACTCAGGCTACTGTTGTACATGCAGTAAGTTCTACAGTTTCATTGTTGATAGGCCTCTGATGTTCTGTTTAAAATGACAAATATATCCAGCAATCTTGTTTAAGTTTCCTTGCACCAGTTACCTATCTTTTAATTTAATTTGTACACTGGTTTGTAAGATACCTGAATTTTCTGACATAGGGAACTGATCAATGATTTTCTAGAGTTAGTCAAAACATTGTAAATGGTTTTATTACTGAGGGATAATTTCATACCACATGCCAAGCCCGAGGTCTACAAAGTCATTCATACCTGTTAATGGTTCGGTTCTCTGCACATGAAGGCTTGGGAATTAAATTCTTCATTAAGTATCAATACTACATTTGTTAAAACTTGATCGATTTGTGATCATGTCTCTGCTTTTGTTTGAAATCAAGACAATTTTTTTTCGTAAAAAGGAAGGGAGGGAGGAGGGATGGGGTGTGTTGGTGGGTCGGGTTTTCCATCTTTTAATATTTTTCAAATTCATACTTATAAGAGGGTCACACTATTACATGTGCCTAACTGTGTGGAGATGTTAGTTCACAGGGAGTAGTCAGGAAAACATATCTTTATCTAAATGTTGTCTTTATGCATTGGAATTTGAATGATATGTCTCTCCTTCATCAGATTCATTTAGACGTCATAGCACATTATAACCATTCCCAATCCAACAGTCATGTATGCCTCGAAAACAGAAGTTAAAATATGGTTTTCGTTTTGTTTTCAAAAAGTAGGAAAGGTAAACATAATACTTGAAAATTTATCTACAAGGGTTCAAAGAGTTAAGTTTGATGTCAGAAATGTTAAAAGTCTGAGTATAATAACTTTACAAACTGCAGTCTAGTTGCAGCAGTCAGTTGTTTTGGTTGAACTACTTGTGAGAAACACAAATGTCCTATTTAGTAGTGTTTGTAACTTAAATTTGTGTTAACAGCATAATTTTCCTTTAATGAAAAACTAATTAGTTCTTCGGCTAGAATATTTTGTGGTTTAACAATATTGTAGAAAAATCTATAAGTAACTTACCTGTGATAACATTTAACCTTTGTAAATTGTCATTGGTAATGCATTTTGAACAGTTACTTAGAAAAACAAATGGCAAAAAAAAATTATTATATATATATACATATATATCAATATCCATGATATTGATTTGTGAAGTTTACATCGCACACAGTTTTTGATATAATAGTTTGTTAATTCTTTGTGTTATCAGATCCAGCAACAGCAGCAACAACAAGGACAACAACATTTAACACAACATGAGGCCACGCAGGCCGTACAGACACTGGCGGAAGTCGCATCCAACCAGAATGACCTATCACAGGCATTAAGTGCACACATGACACCCGTATCTCTAGAGATGAACGCAGAGAGCACTCCTCAGCTCACCACACTTCCCATCAATCAAAATGGACAGATCATCCTGGCTGGGGATGCCCAGATCGGTGGTAAGTGTTAAATCTTTATAGCAATAGGGAGGTATTATTCCAATGTCACTAGCAACATATTCTGACAATACTATATCAATACAGTATGTACAGATCTTTTTACCCGAGACTAATTTGGTTGTTGAGAGCCTTGTATCTGTGAGGATTTAATACAATATGTCAACATGATACAAGGTACAGTTGAAATATAGATTTCTGTGAAGGGTATTTGATATGGAAAGGCTTTATCTATTTACCATTTTTAAGGATGTGAAAATAGATAGATTGAAAGTTATATTAATCGAGAAAACAATTGATGCAAAAATCCTTCTGGGTGATTTTTTTTACAAAGATTGCATTGTAATCATCGGAACATCACACACAAATTGTCATTGGTTGAGGTATAGAAATCTATGTAGTATCATATATACTAACCAATTTTACCAACCTGAACTAAATATTTCATAATAACTGTTCCTGGTCCTCAACCTGACACTTCATTCAATTTTTACTGAAAAATAAAAAATATTGTCTTACTTTTCACAAACAAAATGAACATTGTTTACATGCTGTATTACAGGTATAGTGACCATTCCTGTATCCATGTACCAGACGATGACAGGAGGGTTAACAAATCTGGGAGACACACAGCATGCCGGTCTTATCCAAGGGACAATGTCGCAATTCACAACTGACCGCATCAACACAATGACCACAAACAAAACACATTCTATGGTACCGGACGCCACGCAGGCAGTGGAAGTAATGACCGTTGACCAGCAACAAGTACAGAATCAATCTTAACAGTGTGTCATTGTTATTGGGGAGGGATAATGGGGGTCACTAGTTCCACGCTAGTACCAACTTAAGTCTTAAATATTAATTTTTGTCGAAATTAAAAAAAAAAAACGAGACAAAACTATGATAATGTAAACATTTCGTTTTCTGTCTCGTAGCAATTGAGTGAAAGTCTTTTTCAGATCATGGTTGCCGTTATGTTAACCTCTTTCAGAATCATGGTTTATATATGAAGTGCAACATGTTGACACCATTTTTCTTGGCATTTGTATTTGCTGGTATTTGAATTCTTTAATATATTCTTGTTTTGCTGGAGATATTCAAATCTACCCATCTAGATATCTCTGAGCATTACTGAGTGACTGCTTGTGTTGAGCTAAACTTTAGGTGATGAGAAATTTATTTGTCAAGAAACAAAAAAACAATTATGATAAAGGAAGGCAGTATTTAATGTGATGTATGTAATTTGTGTGAGGAACCTGTAACAAGCTGTAAGTGTTTTTTCTCAGATGAAACTGGTTTGCAATAATAATTTCCTGAAAGGGTTGATATCCTTAGGGATATTCTTGTGAACCATCTCTCCTGCTCCAGGACTGTAAGCTTTATTAAGAGGTACCATCCCTAACATTCAGTTGATAATTTGCATGGATGAGAAACCAAACGATGGATAGAAGGGATTTTTTGAGAGTCTTTAGGTCAAGTGAATGTTTACTGGAATATAATCCTGATATGAAGAGATTAAATTCATTTTGATATAGTACGAGACTTATATCAGATAAACTATTAAACAATAAACAAAACTAGACAAGATACTTTGTTGTATGTATAGAGAGAATACATGAACTTGATTTGAACAATAAGACATATAAATTATATATTTATTTTTTTCTATTGATCAAGAACTGGACCGATTAAACAACACTGGCTTATTGATACAGCTACATTTTGTTAGATATTTTCATTTCTATAAAAAGGGAAAATTGGTTTGTTTTTTATTAGAAAAAAAAAGATGATGTATACCAATCGCTTTATTTGGGATCTGGGATTGGGATTTTTTGAGAGGGTGGGGGTGGGGTGGGGGGGATTGTGAAATTAGATGTTAGAATAAGTGGAGTGTAGAATTTGAAATCTGTCTCATTTATACCACCTTACCACCGTCAGATAATGTAAAATTAGACTTAATAGTCGTTCTTTGTAATCAACAAACATGGTCAAACACAGTGACATGTATTTCCTATGTTAGAATGATACTCGTTGTATTTAAGGCATCGAAGCAGTTTTTTTTCTGTTGATTTTTTTTTGTTTGTCATTTGAATCCATATTTAAATAAAAATCAATGACAGCTGTGAGGATAGTTACAAAATTTCTATTCTACAAATGTTGTTTATTTATGTGTAAAGCTAGAATTTGTCAGTGATCATAACTGTGTTGTTTTAGTATTTATTGAATTATACACTTTACAAATTGTATACCTACTTTGAATAACTGAGACCTTCCTCATATATTAACCAGTATGGCTAAGCTGTATCTGGTGTGTGATGCTTTACACCAGTAATTTATACATTTTTATTATCAATTGTTGGTTTTCAGTGAATTCTTATCAGCCTGAACATTTTAAAAGCAATTCCTATACCTCCTGGAACTGGCCTTTCTTAATTGGTAAATGCTGAAATAGTTCAATATGAGAATGTTATATGGTATGAAAAAATATAATTTATGTCGGTCTAACTAATGGCTTTGCTAGTCTTTGAGGTCTATATCTAGATAACAATGGAATTTAGTGTGCTATTGTTGTTCGTGTGAAGATTGAAATAAGAAAAAATTGAAACAATCCTTATCTTGTATTAAGATATCATTTCACCTTGTTTTACATCAGCATAATCATTCATTATTTATTGTTGGCTTATACATTGTAGTAATATTTGTGACAACAAAAAATATTTTGCAAGTACTTTTTTTTGCTTTTCAATTTTGCACCTCTTTAAATAATAAATGAAGAAGATGTGCTGTTTTAACACTGTCTGAAAAGTTTGCTTGGAGATTTTAAGATATTATTTTGATTTTCCCCAAGGTACAAATTATTAACTTTTCTGTTCCTATAATCTCCCTTATATTGCTTCTTGCTGTAATCTAAATCACATCCAGTACTGAACTTCTACAATAGAGCTACAACTCTGAATTAATGAATTGGTGCATGAGAAATGTCAGTGTCAGTGTTTTTGGAGAAAATGATAATCATGATTTCGGAAATTTGAAAAATAAATGAAATTTTCAGTAGGATTTTATTTTTTTTTTAATTATTTGAAATACAGCCCTCATATATAAATTTTTTTCCAGAATTTTATTGATACAAGAATTTATGATTTTGAATTATGTTGATCATGTCTCCTGGGGAAACTTTTTACAAACTGTAGCAGGATCAAGCTGGAAACATATACTGATGAGAGAGTACTGTTTAAACATGTCCTGTGTTATCATTTGCTATAGTTGGTGCAGTAATGGTTTAATTGATGCAGTAAGTTTACAACACTTAAAAATGTTGTATGAAAAAACAGTATGGCAATAATAAATGTCTATAGTTGTTTTGTGTCAGGGATAAAAGCAGCCTGTAAACCAGTGTATTGGTCATTGTCTGTTTTTTGTTGACAAGAAAACTGAAATGTTGTAAACAACAAAATGAGACTGAGATGTATGGCAGTGCTGCTGGTCTGTTCACACTTAATACACATTCCTCTGCTGTCAAAAATCAGGGTTTTTTTAAGAGCAATCCGCAATCTGTCACTGACATGATTAATAGTAAATCTAGTGTCTGTTGATGGTGTCATCATAATCACAAATTACTCTTTATAAATTCTAATAAGTAACAAGGGAGATAATAACGATATATAATGATGAATTTTCATAACCAAGCCAAGTTCCTAACTAAGCCCAGAGAATTGGAGGAACAGATTCTTTCACACAAGAAGGTATATATAGAAAAGAAAATGTTTCATGTTTTTTGGATACACATTATGCGTGAAATGATGAAACCAATTTAAAATAAAAGCAAGCAATCATTTATACAGGTGCTTCCCTCATGATAAATTGTGTAATAGCTGATTTTTAAAAATCCATAGTTTAACAGACGTAAGAAAATATTTGTAGCAATTAGCTTGTCTGTTAATACAGGTTTGTACTGGTTGTACTCATTTCCCACACCTATCTATTGTTTACGCTTGTAACCCATAATTACCTACAAAAATGTAATTCTGACTTGGCAAACAGTTGCATAGCTTTGTTAACTCGCTTTGTCCATTATGTGTTTTTAGCCAAGTAAAGTTCATAGTAGTTTCTCAGATTTGATACATGGTTATTTACACTATATTCCCTTTCATAGATCTGATCACTCTAAAAAGATATTGATGATAAATATAGGAACAACGGTAACACTACAATATCAAACAACTCCTTATGTCAGACTTCTTGGTTTCAATCATTTTGATTCTAGCAAGTTTTTCAATTTCAGTTGAATCCTGTTCTTTATAAATGCATTGGACATAATATGTGAATGATGTGGATATTTACCTGGTTATAAAGCACTGGTATTCACCGCAATTACAGAGATTTGAACTGTGCTATGTAAACGGTTCGTGTCTGTTAAATGTTCAGTACTTAGTTGTTTAAACGTTGTCTGGTGATAGCCCTCCCAGGAACAGATGTGATGTGAAAATTGTATTATATAAATTAATCTTTTATAAATGTTCAATAAATATGAAATAATTCTTCGTCACTCTCCTGTTTTTATTAGCCCACCATCTAATAGATGGTGGGTTATTCAAATCGCCCTGCGTCCGTGGTCCGTCCGTAAACAATTCTTGTTACCGCTATTTCTGGAAAAGTACTGGATGGATCTTTCTCAAATTTCACATGCAGTTTCCCCTTGGTACCTAGTTGTGCATTGTACCTTTTTTGGACTGATTCGAATTCAAGATGGCCGACAGGCAGCCATCTTGGATTTTGGAAGTAAAAGTTTGTTACTGCTACTTCTTGGAAAGTACTGGATGGATCTTTCTCAAATTTCATATGCAGTTTCCCCTTAGTCCCTAGTTGTGCATTGTACCTTTTTTGGACTGATTCGAATTCAAGATGGCTGACAGGTGGCCATCTTGGATTTTGGAAGTAAAAGTTTGTTACCACTATTTCTTGGAAAGTACTCTTATTTTACTGATAAAACCTTAGGTGGTTTTAGGTTGCAAAAACGTAATGTTTCCACCTGTTTTTGCATTCAGTAAAATAAAAGCAAACATAATCAAAACAAACAGATATTTTATTGCTAAAGATTTTTTATTCTTTCCATATTTTTATGAAAGTATTCCTCATTTTGGAGTGACTGACCATGTCATCATTCTAAATTAACCTCCAAAACGAGTTCATATGAAACGACCACACTCATAGGCCATGATCGGTGACTAGTAGAAATTGGAACCAATCAGATTCAATGTAACAACTAAATGATTGGCCCAATATACATCAAATGCAGTTAGGAAATGTAAATTTTAACAATTCTCATTGCTGTTTTAACAAATCTGAATTTGGAATCAATTTAAAACTTTTGCATCAGCTGATGAGATCTAGGTTACGAAATTGACACCAAAAAACAGTTGATTGAACAAAATGACAAAAATAACACTCAGCTATTGACAAACGTTAACTGACTATGGATATTAATATTTTACAGGTGATATTCTGCCAAAACAGCTAGGTAACAAAATAATATGGCTTCTGGGCAGTCTTAAAAATCTCACTGGGAAAAAAACCATGATTACGAAGTTTCCGAATCACGGAAAGAGCATCAGTAAAGGGTCTATAACAAATACACCTCAGCTGACTGCCTCAAATAATGTACAGAAGTAGTCGGAACTGAATTTGAGTCATCATGGCTAATTATGTAAACAAAGGAGAATTTTTTAAGATTTTTTGTAAGTACATTACAAACCCCATGAATTGGCTACAAATTGACCTTGACCTTTTAGAAGTAAATATGCATGAGTGTTGTGTGATATGCTATCTAGTTATGATTCATGCACACACACAAATCTCATTTTTCACTAAAAGGGTTGAAAATGTTTCTGAAAGATAAATTATTTTCTTTTTTTTTTTTTTTACTCAAAAAAGATTAAAAGGTGGGAGTAATGCAGAGAGGAAGCTGACTCCCACAGAAATGATCTGAATGTATCCTTGTGTCATCTCCAGCCAACGACAAGTGTCTAGTACAGATAGTGAACCAGCTGTGCTTTTCTGATAAAACAAAAAAAGGTTAACAGTCACAACGTCCTGACAACCTACTCTCGAATATACTACACATAAAGGAGCACTTATTACCAACAAATGTCAACATGCTAGCATGAATATTTCTCTTGAGTACATGCCTAGAACTACCATATGCAATCATTTCCCATAATTTATTTACAGATAAACAAACTAGTACATGTATATACATATAGGTATATATAATTTTATCTAGAAAATTTCTCCCGATCTTACACTCTGAAACATTTACAAAATGTACATATTAATCCATTTTTATACATCTGTTTTATTTTTCTTAAATAGGCAATAAATATATTTTTTACTTAATATTGATATAATCTTTTGATAAAACCTGAGATTTCACTGTAATCCAAGATCAGAAATACAAACCAGACGTTTATCTTTAACAAATGTAACAATGTTAGAAACACACATCATCCAGAGTCCATTCTCAAACTGATTTTTTTACATGTTATTATTATCACAATCATAAACACAAGCAGAAACGAAGAATCCCAAAAAATAAACTAAAAATAAAGACATTTTTTTAAATATTTTGTGTGGTATTTAAAAAACCTTTTTTGACTTTTTGCATACAAATGGAAAATATAACATTACCGTTCAATCCCCTTTTCAGTTTCCCCATAGTTTAACAAATAAAAAAAAATTTAAAGGGACATAACTCTATCATCACTGGTCTCTGCCATGAATCATGATTGAAACAGCTGTTTGTAAATATTGCAAATCTGAAAAAAAGCCATATCATTGATTAAAAAGTCAACAATATTTTCTCTCAAAATTTGTATATGAAATAAACTTTCACTACTTCCTGTACAGAAATGCAGACATACTAACATAAAAGACGGACATTTCAAAGTCACCTAATAGTACAAAGTAACCAACTTCAAAAATCAATTAATTTCAAAAAATTTATACATCAACATCATTTCATTTTATCACAAATCTCATACATCTACTAGCACCTAGGTATGTAAAGAAACAGACATAAAATACCAAACTGATTATATCTAGCGACTTGGTAGTTACAATATTGATGTTTTAAGATATGATTCATCTGTATTTGTCAAGAGGATCCAACATTTTTTTAAATTTTGAAACAAGGTATCAGAGAAAATTCATCAATATTTTTGTACACATATATTGGAATTATATTTGTTTTTTGGAAACACGAAGAAGATGATTGAAATTTAAATTTGATAGAAAATTAATCAAAATCTAGCAAAAATTATTCCATGGTAAGATGTACTCTCATCAGTAGACTAAAATCTCTGCACATATTTACCAAGAAAATAACACATGTATATGGGAAAAACATTATATGAATAGTAAAATTTAGTAGAAAATAAATCCAGGTTGGGAGTGCCTAGTATGACCTGTACTACAGAGCCTTTCAAATAAATTTGGTTTTTAAATAAAGACTAAAATTCTATAAACTATAGAAAAATGTCTCTCGTGATGTAACACCAAGTCACTATCTTATCAATGTGTGAAAGAAGTTTTAAACACTAAAATGATCAAACTACAGCTTGTCAGTGATTTCTCATCTCTTTAATACCATCCTTCTCAAATCTGATCATTCAAACTCAGAAAGATGAAAATACATTACCATAGTATCAATCAGTATTTTTCCTAAACTGATGTCATTTGGAATTGAATCAAAGATGAAAGGAGTCATTTTCATGCTTCCAATATTTCAGGAATTTAAAAAATGCCTGATTTCAGCTCTGATCTGTTTCTAAATCTGATGATTTGTAAGTAAGTGAAAGCCACATATTGAAGTACGTTTTATAACAGGGAACTTCTAATATTAGCCAAGTGAAAATTTACTAACTACAAATACCAGTATATCATTGACAGACAAATTGTTAATTCTGTAATATGTATCAACACTAACTTTGATACAATCCATGTCAACGCCCATTTCTCAAAACATGTTACTTATTAAGTATATATATACACAACTGTGGGCTTCATGTGTTAAGTAAAAATCATGATTTTTTTTCAATGTACAGAATAACAAAATACTAATCCATCACCTAAATAATCAATAACACCATATTTTTCTTATCTTATAAAGCTACACTCTACAAAAGAATATAATAATAGTTGCTATTATAATCTGTTGTCCCAATGTCAAAGTGCTAGTTAACAGACATCTGTTTGATTTCAGTTGTTGTTTAAACATTAATTTGTTTATTTGTTTATCCTTTTGATCTAATCTAGGTTTTGAAGAACAGATAAACCTTTATTTATTATCCAAAAGTGTTTTTTTTATCTATCATGTAACTTTATTGTTTAAGTAGAAATGACATTGGCAAGAGGAGTATTACATTTCACTTCCTAAGACTTTCAATGGGATTGGGATTAGCTGAGTGAAAAAAAAATTATTCAGTATTTAGGTATTTCAAAGTTAACAATATTTCAGGTTTCCTAAATGACTGATTGGCAGGGAAACCATTACTAAATAGGGTAAAGTATAATTCTGATGTAGTTTCACATGAAATTCATGAGAAGGGAGATAAACAATTTTTGAGTGATATATCATTATTTCATAAGAACGGAAAAATAATGATTGTTTTAAACTTCAGATGTTTGATCAATTTTGATTAAAAATTTTGGAAGGGTTGTCTAGTTTTCCATATCACAGCTAACTGAAATCTCTACCTTGACACCCAACAAGAATAAAAATTATTTCAAAAAATGACATATTTCCCTTTCAACAAGTCTGCTTGTAAATAAATATCATTTCAAAAATTACCTCTGCCAACATGAACAGAAATCTTAAGGAAATTACGATAAGAATAATAGACACTCCACTATCATACCTTTAAAATTCAGATTCTAGGAAACACATACACATTTCATTATCTATTAGACAACCTCAAATAATTCATATCAGATTACAAACAAAATAAACAATATTATTCTAAATCACGTTGTTCATTAAAAATCATATTAACAGGCTCTTCTTGTGTGGGTGTCCACAAATTTACAGTGTAACCATGACAACAGTAACCAATAAATCTATTTCCTTGTATCACTGTAGTCCTGGTTACTTGGAATGCCCACTTCCTGTTGTTTGATTATGACGGGTTGTCCTGGAGTCATGGAATGGTGGTGAGGTGGCATAGGATCTCAGTATCTGTAAGACACCACAGATATACAGATTAAAAACAATAGATATCTCATACCCAAGTTACAATGATGTAATGAATACAGAACAGGTTTACAGTCAGATACTTGAAGTTAAGATTTTGTTTTAACAGGTTTTACGCCCACTATTTCACCTTTCGGCCTTACAGAAAAGTTCAGATTAAGATGTCTGCACCTTTGAAACTGTACATGAAAATTACGTTTCACTGAAAATTTGTATCGCAGTAGTCTTAATGGATCTCCAAATATTGATACAGGCCCCAAAAGGCACATTCGTGTCTTATCAGAGATCAATACAAAATCTATAAACTCAAATGAACAATTCAATTAAAATTAAACCAATAGTGGAAAAAAATACTCTAATTTTCATCAGTCCAGACATCGACTTCATTTGCCTACAGGTGTTTAATGTACACTTAAAGTTCATTAGGCATACAGACAAATGGGAGACATGTTTTCATGTAAACTACCTAAGGGAGATAACTGACAATGGTTGATATTGTTTTCATCTTTTGTGGAATATTCAATTTCCTTCCTTCTAAGAATTTCCTTTTTTTGTATCTATGTCTCTTAGAAACTGTTCTTTTGATTGACTCTCTCGTCACGATGAGACAAAACTTGTGTCTACATTTCCGGCATTTTTATTGGTAAACAACATCTACAATGATGGAATTGAAAGCAAAAAGAGAAAACATTATTCTCAACAGTTTAGATAATCCAGCATCACAGACTTTCTTATCACTTTTAATTATTCATATAGTAGACAGTAATATTAAAGAATATAATCCTTTTACACAAACAAATATCTCAATTAGTGGAAATTACCTGTAGTAATTTGGCTTGAATGGTCCGGTCTTGTTGAGTCCCAGATACTTTGCTTGTTCATCATTGAGTTCTGTCAAGTGGGCGTCAAACGTTGGTAAATGTAGACTGGCCACATACTCATCTGTAAATACCAACACATACAAATTATAAGTTACGAACCACGGGCGACATGATGATAGTATGCTAACACATGATAAATGACGGACTATGGGCGACATGATGATAGTATGCTAACATCTACTTACTGCCAACTGGTGTATAAACTACCAAATATTCCTTAGTGAAATACATCCATTAATACATTGTAAAATTTTGTATTTTTTTTCAAATTTTGTTACATCTTTCCCCCCACCCCCCATATTTTTTTTATTCTTTATGTGTGCTTACTCTTTCCAATATCTTTCAAACCAAGTATAAAGTAGTTTTGCATGATCGCCTGATTTTTTTTATAAATTCTTTTTTTCAGTTGTCTCTTTCATCAAACCCACTCAATCTAAATTTTCTTGGACTGATTCTTTCAGGGTCTTTTGCACTGATTTTTTTGATAAGGACTTTCCCCTGTTCTCATTTTCTAGTATTTAATAGTGAAGGTTTTATTCTGTGCTGCCATTGGCTCAAAATTGTCTGTTTTTAATGTAATCTGTGTTCTTTCTAAAACAAACCATATATAATTTTGAGCCACTGGCAGCACAGAATAAAACCTTCACTATTAAGTTAAACATCAAATAAGGTAGTACGGTGTAAAAACCAAATAAGGTAGTACGGGTGTTAAAAACCAAATAAGGTAGTATGGGTGTTAAAACCAAAGTTACTTACAGAGAAAGAGCTACAGGTTCTCTCAAAGGGAATTAACTCAGAATAAATAGTTTCTCCAGTGCTTCACACATTTAGTTTGAATATTGCTGTCATTTTTTAAATGATCTTCATCTGAAGACTGACTGACTTACCCATTTTCTTTGGTAGGAGGTAGACATCTTGCTTGTACCTGCCAGCAGGAGCATTATACAGCTCTATCAATGCTAGTGCCTAAAACATATGTGAAATTCATATACATTGTATTTATCTAGTTATTTAGGATAAATTCAGATGAGAGTTAGAATCAGAAAATTGATTCTTGTATGTGATGTTCATTTACTACACCTCTGAGAACAGATGTTTAAAAATATTTGCCTACAAAAAGAAAATCATAATATTTTCTTAGAAAGTCTGAATTTCCCTGAACACTAATATTTCATGTCTGACAGAGTAAGAACAAAGGTGAACTAACAGGTGTTCACTCCTTGAACAAAACACCTGTCCTCTACTTTGTTGACTTACCTGAGTTCCAGCTGTGATGGACACCACAAATGATGGAACACTGGAGCAACTCAGATTCACAAGGCGACCCTAAAAACAAAAGTAATCATTTCACAAGGTGACCCTTAATACAAAAGTAATCATTTCACAAGGCGACCCTTAATACAAAAGTTCATTTCACAAGGCGACCCTTAATACAACAGTTCATTTCACAAGGCGACCCTTAATATCAAAAGTAATCACTTCACAAGGCGACCCTTAATACAAAAGTAATCATTTCACAAGGCGACCCTAAATACAAAAGTTATCATTTCACAAGGCGACCCTTAATACAAAAGTAATCATTTCACAAGGCGACCCTTAATACAAAAGTTATCATTTCACAAGGCGACCCTTAATACAAAAGTAATCATTTCACAAGGCGACCCTTAATACAAAAGTTATCATTTCACAAGGCGACCCTTAATACAAAAGTAATCATTTCACAAGGCGACCCTTAATACAAAAGTTATCATTTCACAAGGCGACCCTTAATACAAAAGTAATCATTTCACAAGGCGACCCTTAATACAAAAGTAATCATTTCACAAGGCGACCCTTAATACAAAAGTAATCATTTCACAAGGCGACCCTTAATACAAAAGTAATCATTTCACAAGGCGACCCTTAATACAAGAGTTCATTTCACAAGGCGACCCTTAATACAAGAGTTCATTTCACAAGGCGACCCTTAATACAAAAGTAATCATTTCACAAGGCGACCCTTAATACAAAAGTAATCATTTCACAAGGCGACCCTTAATACAAAAGTTATCATTTCACAAGGCGACCCTAAATACAAAAGTTATCATTTCACAAGGCGACCCTTAATACAAAAGTAATCATTTCACAAGGCGACCCTTAATACAAAAGTAATCATTTCACAAGGCGACCCTTAATACAAAAGTAATCACTTCACAAGGCGACCCTTAATACAAAAGTTCATTTCACAAGGCGACCCTTAATATCAAAGTAATCATTTCACAAGGCGACCCTTAATATCAAAAGTAATCACTTCACAAGGTGACCCTTAATACAAAAGTAATCACTTCACAAGGCGACCCTTAATACAAAAGTTCATTTCACAAGGTGACCCTAAATACAAAAGTAATCATTTCACAAGGCGACCCTTAATACAAAAGTTCATTTCACAAGGCGACCCTAAATACAAAAGTAATCACTTCACAAGGCGACCCTTAATATCAAAGTAATCATTTCACAAGGCGACCCTTACAAGGCGACCCTTAATACAAAAGTTCATTTCACAAGGTGACCCTTAATACAAAAGTAATCATTTCACAAGGCGACCCTTAATACAAAAGTAATCACTTCACAAGGCGACCCTTAATACAAAAGTAATCATTTCACAAGGCGACCCTTAATACAAAAGTAATCATTTCACAAGGCGACCCTTAATACAAAAGTTCATTTCACAAGGCGACCCTTAATACAAGAGTTCATTTCACAAGGCAACCCTTAATACAAAAGTAATCATTTCACAAGGCGACCCTTAATACAAAAGTAATCACTTCACAAGGCGACCCTTAATACAAAAGTAATCATTTCACAAGGCGACCCTTAATACAAGAGTTCATTTCACAAGGCGACCCTTAATACAAAAGTAATCACTTCACAAGGCGACCCTTAATACAAAAGTGATCACTTCACAAGGCGACCCTTAATACAAAAGTAATCATTTCACAAGGCGACCCTTAATACAAAAGTGATCACTTCACAAGGCGACCCTTAATACAAAAGTGATCACTTCACAAGGCGACCCTTAATACAAAAGTTCATTTCACAAGGCGACCCTTAATACAAAAGTTCATTTCACAAGGCGACCCTTAATACAAAAGTTCATTTCACAAGGCGACCCTTAATACAAGAGTAATCATTTCACAAGGCGACCCTTAATACAAGAGTAATCATTTCACAAGGCGACCCTTAATACAAGAGTTCATTTCACAAGGCGACCCTTAATACAAAAGTGATCACTTCACAAGGCGACCCTTAATACAAAAGTATCATTTCACAAGGCGACCCTTAATACAAAAGTAATCATTTCACAAGGCGACCCTTAATACAAAAGTGATCATTTCACAAGGCGACCCTTAATACAAAAGTAATCATTTCACAAGGCGACCCTTAATACAAAAGTAATCATTTCACAAGGCGACCCTTAATACAAAAGTAATCATTTCACAAGGCGACCCTTAATACAAAAGTGATCACTTCACAAGGCGACCCTTAATACAAAAGTATCATTTCACAAGGCGACCCTTAATACAAAAGTAATCATTTCACAAGGCGACCCTTAATACAAAAGTAATCATTTCACAAGGTGACCCTTAATACAAAAGAAGTCATTTGACCAATACATAAATAATTTGAAGGAATCACAGAGTACCACTGAATCCTTACTGATATAATGATTAATATCATTCTAATGATTTCTAAAACTGAGATTTTCTAAAATATCATGACAAACTACAACCCTCCAATTAATGATACTTTTCTAATCTAATTATACCTAAATCATCTTAAAATGACCAGAATTTTCCAATAATTCAATAAAACCAACATTTTAAATTTCCAGAATAAAAAATATATCAGAAAATGTAAGCCAAGCAGATACATATCTCATCTACAAACTTTTCCTATTTCTCTGTTAATCTACTGTAATACTATACAGCATATCATCAAAGTAAACACAGCTTATGAATATTCATGATCAGGACCATCAGCTGCTCAAAAATGGCATTGACTACAACATGGTGTGAGAAGTTTACATAAGGATCATCAACTGCCCGCTCCAAAGAAATGGAGTTGATTTATGCAAGGATATAAAGATTTATGTTAAAGATCATCAGCTGCTACATAGGAAGGAAATAAGTGACTGGAATTGGGGATGAAGATTTATGGAAAATTTAGGATAAAGACCATCACCAGCTCTAAAGAACTGAGTTAAATAAAAACTTGTGTTCACCACATACCTCAGCCAGAAGGATGATTCTCTTGCCATCAGGCCAAATGATGTGATCCACTTGTGACCTTACTTTCTCCCAGGTCAGGTCTGGGGTTCTCAGACTTCCCTGAAACAACAACAATTCATATTAAGCTATGTAAAATTCTTTGCCATAAAAAGACAGTCCTCATTTTTCAAGTCCAACTGATTTTGATTTTTAAAATCAGCATCAAGATCAGTTGTACCTCCCTTACATTTGGGTATGATAGTGAAGCACTTTTCTGGGATGAGATCAGAACCAGTTTGAGGAGAATTTCGAATCAAACTTGGTGTGACTTACATATCTAAATCATTAACTATATTCAAAGTAAATCTGATTTATCAGTAAAATAGAAGATATTAATTAGCTACGGCCAAAACTCACCACATCGATTTCTGTGTTAGAGTGACCCATGTTACATACAATACAGCCGGTCTTCATGCGATCCATAAAACTACGTGTGACCACATTCTTATTTCCTGAAAAATATAGAATAATTGGTGAGATTTCTGTTGGGAATTTTTGTCCAAAGATATAAAAATCATGACAAAGTCAGTCAAAATTCTAGATTTTTAAAACTCAAAATTCTGTGACTAAATATATCGTCCTTCTGTGGTATAATTTGGTAAAATGGGCATTTTTTCAAATTTTCTTTAAAACATAAAACCTAAAAAGTTGCACCACACCTTCCTAAACTGTCACTATAACAACACCATGTCATATGACATTAAATTACTTTAAATTTACACATCAAATCAGAATGAAAACATGGAGCTATTAAGTTAAACCTCTCACCTGAGCATGTGATGAGAATGTCAACTTGTCTGACAACCTCCTCCAGCCTTACCACACGGAAGCCGTCCATGCTGTCAACAAATACACACATACATCATGTCTATACCGTGAAATCATTCATTGATCAATAAACATTTTGGGAAAATCAACCACATTTGAGTCCTCAACAACATCTAATTTACAGGAGTTACAAACTAATATCAGAAATATCTTTTTCATTTTCTGGATTATAAGTATAGATATATGAGGTTTAACATTACAATGAAGCCCAACTTTTCCTTGTTACTTTTGACCTATTGGCAAAACAGCACAAGTTTAAATGTGAAGAAAATTTCAGTATGGTGATGATATTGTTATGTTGTATTGGATTATCAAAATAAAATCTTGACCTCCGAGGAGAATGATGATGGTGATGCTATTTAGAATTGGACGGTGAGGACATAAATACTGAGATCATGGAGTCTGGGTTACCTACCAGGCCTGGAGGGCACAGATTGGATCAATTTCTGTTACCATTACACTACAACCAAGTCCCTTCAGGGCCGAGGCACAACCTTTACCAACCTGGAATGATGAGTTCACAAAAAATGTGAGTCCACAAAAAATGGAGAGATTTTTCTTGTACAAAATACACTTGCCTATAAAAATGTTGTAAAACAAATGAAACAGTTCCTCAACATACTACATATATAACACAGGACAGCCATTTAAAACTCTTTATGTTGATGTCTGTTTTCATACAAGAAAGGATACCATGGTAATGTATCAAATATAATCTTAGAAAGTGATAGAAAATATTTAAGTTTCATTCATGAAGTTCAAAAAAAAAAAAAAAAAGAAAATGTCCACAAGACATTATGTTCCTACTCTGATGACTTTGACCTGAAACACAAATCAAAGTCCCACAGGAAACGACAGGGCTCTCACACCCCATTTTGGGACTGGGGCCCAGGGCCCTTAGAATTGGGAAAAATAATGGTGTTTTCCTTAGAATTGGGAAAACTTGGGGTCTAAATTGGTAAAAAAAGACACTATTTTACATTGGGAATGGGGGCCGATATCTGGCATCTGAATGATGTCACAAGGGTGTTGATATTGATTTGGGACATTAAGAATTGGCATGGACACAGAGGACACTTAAAATGCTACATACAGAAAGGTGGGAGCATAATCACCAAAACAGACAAACCTAATGATAATAAGTTTTAGAATAAGGAATGACATCGCCGATAGATACCATTAGTTTTAGTCCTTAATTTATCTATCACTGAGATAATTATCAATATAAGGCAGGTTGTATGTGTCAATAACGTGTGTAATACCATCATATAGATTCATAGTGACCTTGTATTATCATTATTTCAGTCTTAACAGCCTGTCCACACATAAAAGGTCATTAGGGCCACCAACAGGTTAAACCCGATCTTGTATTCTCACCTCACCATATCCACAGACAACGACTTGCTTCCCTCCAAACATAACATCAGTTGTCCTCTTCAATCTGAAAAATCCAAAGAAAAAGAAAATTTTCTATTATCTGGAGTGACTACCATATTTTCCAGCATATATGCTGCACCGGTATATAAGCTGCAGGGCCAATTTTTACAGATTTTTTCTATTTGATCCACATATTGGCTGCAACGGAATATGAGACTTATGTGCTAACCGTTCATGTTGATCAAAATTTGTTGATGTAACAGACAACATCAGGCAATTTATCGAGATCGTCAGTGAAACATTTAATATAAGTCTAATCCTTTATTTTATTGATGTGTTTCAAAATAGCTATTGTCAAACTTGTTTGGCTTGGGAACCTTCAAAAATTGTCTTCACACAGAAACAGGATCTGACTTTGCCTACGGTTTACTTAACAATATGTACCAAATCTATCCCTACATTTCAAAATCCCTTGCAGAATTTCAGTTTTTATATCCATTCTAATATTCTGTTCAGTTGAGTCTGGTTATCTCCCTTTAGTTGATTTGACTCAGCTGAACATCTTAAAAGAAATTTGATTCTGCAATTAATCTCCCTTGAAAGAGATAAGAACGAACTGCTGATAGATATCAAAATCTATAAGATTTTCCTATCTTTATGACCAACTGATTTGAATTATCTCCCCATTGTTTAGAATCTATAAGTAATATCCTGCCGTAACATTGCTAATCTCATGAACTAAATTTGATTTTTTTTCTTTGAGCTCTATGTACTTCGATCTTTGATCATCTGTATCAATATAGTAGTCAAACAACCTCCCCTCCCTCCCCGCCATTCAGTTTTAACTTCCTTCTTTATTGCAACTGTTTTTTAACTCTTTACCTCACTCTCCATACCAAGCAAAGAATCTCCTTATCTACCTGGGTATCCATAAATAGCTTAATATCGTTTGCTTAGATATGTCTGACTGTTTGTATAATCTAAGCAAAGGCCATGAGAAATTACCCATAAAGACAATGTAAATCTTGATGGAAATTGAATGAAGTTCACCTGAGTCTCCTACACCAAGCAATGTAAAACTGATCATTTTTAATGTGATAGTTTCCATAGAAACATGGTGAATTACATAAATTTCCCCAAAAACTTCTCTTTTGTCTTTAATACATGTACTTGCTATTGTTTTGTATTTCCATTAAACCTGTTTTTGTGTGTTTTGTGTTTTTACTCAGCCTTGGTACTGTAGAACTACTAATGAAATATTGTTTGTCTGTTTTTTTTTCAATCTTGGTACCATAAATACACTAAGGAAACATGTTTTATCAACAGGAAACATGACAATAAAAAACAAATAAATAAACACCTATATCACACCCCATTACCACAACGTTGTTTGTGTTATGAACTTATAATCAAGAAATCATTTTTATTTAAATTCCTCAAGATATACAGCATCTTAACGCAACAAAATAATTATGTAATTGCTGGTAATGTAGATTAGAACACCATGGCCACAGGGAGATAGCATCTGGTACACAGATCTGTATCCTTCCTGTACCCTACAGTACCACCTTATCTGTTAGCTTTCCTCCAGACATGTACACCCACCTTACAGTGCAGTGATGTGTTACACAGAAACCTCCTTCTGTGTATTGCTGTCTGTACAGACCACAGAAACATTTCATCAGTACAAATGTGCATTGTATATATAGTTTTTTTTTATAACAGACTGGATTTTTGTTTTTCTTTAACTCATGCAATGGTTGTTAAATTACTTTGGAAAAAGATTTGTTCATTCAATTCAAAGAAAAAACTAATTTGAGGTATTCCAGGTAATTTGACAGAAATTCAAAAGAATGTCAGACAACTAACACAGCAAGAATTGAATTAACAAGTACATTTGTTTCTGTATATATACTACATGTCCTAATTTTTGGAGAGTCCCCTGTTTCACTTTAACAGTGGATGGAATAAATCTGCAAAAATTAAATGACCTCAAATAAAATCAAATGAGGATATCGTTGCCAGTTTTAGGATTTTTATGATTTTTATAATTTTTGTAATTAGGTTTGCTTCCATCTCTCGATAAAACCTCGAAAAAAAAAAAGAAAAAAAATGAGTTTTCAATCTCAAGATATTTGAGGAACAAATGCAAAACCTGCAATATACTGTACAACCTGTGCTCTTAGGCTTAATTTAGAATAAATGATACAGCAAAGGGAAGTAACTCTGTGTCTTTAAGTTGAATGACATTTGACATTTGACACTTACGCATCTAGGATGGATTCTCTGCAGCTGTAAAGATTGTCAAACTTGGTCTGCAATCAGAGAAGAATACTTAGCTTAATATCAAGCTATTTAAAGAAGTTGTAGAAACATACACTCAATAAATAGCCCACTCAGTGGTGATGCATGGCGTGTGCTGTGATTCAATTTCACTTGGATTAAACTCATGTTGTTTCCAGTGATAATGTGCTTAAATTTGATTGCGCCAAATTAGACAAGAATTAAACTGTAATTCACAGGAGTTGCATAAACCCAACATGACTGATAATCAGGAAGCAATTTACTTGTTCACTCTGCTGTTAATATGTAAGTTATATATTTATGTTATCTTGTGATAATATCGAAATATGTTTGGAATTTTCAGAAAGAAGTCAGTTCTGCAGACTTTTAGAAACCAGGAAAAAAGATTGTTTTGTGGTTTTATGAAGATCCAATATGGTGACCAAAATTTGTAGACATTACAATAAAACCTATATTATCTATTGAATGAGTAATCATCAGTAATGAGCAGTCAACATCTTCTGACAAGCATCAATTAAATATATCTGACATCAGATAAAGTACTCATTGACCCTGATAAACTGACCTTGGTGACTTGGGGACAGTAGCCATGGTGACAGAATCTATCAACTGACCTTGGTGACTGAGTCATTGACATTCATTGCGGGGACGGTCAATTTGCCAGACTTGGACAGCTGGTAGAGACGGTGGACACCGGTCACACTCTCCTCCACAATACCCTTGATCATGTTGAACATGGCCGGATAACGCTTCAGCATCAAGTGGGTTGCATCTCCACCATCATCCAGGATCTGAAGGTCAAAGTTCATATTGCTTTCAAGTTTAAAGGTCAAACATGTGTTGTTTGGCAACATCTTTACATCCCCTCCAAATTTTAGTGATTAGGGATTAATGAAAATATGTTAAATTAGTAAGAATGGGTTTCTCACTACTATGTTGCATAAACATCTCATAAGTATTATGTATAATAAAATGTGTGAATATCAAGAGAGAAATGGAGAGGGATAAGATTTACAGAACTTTAACATACATTTATGATAATTCAAACCTCATCTATTTTTAGATCAACAAAGCAAAGTTGTGCACAAATCTTCACCTCTAGAAAATGGTAGATGCTTTGGCTTAAATGGAGATATTGAATCAAGCCTTTTTTCTTCGATCACCAGATATCCATTTGGTTTATATTTCAAGCTTCAATATACATGCAGTAAGGATATGGCAAGCCCAATGTGGTTCTAGCTACTAACTCCAGAAACACATTGTGACAACTGACATCATAAAAGAGTCACCTTGACCCTCTTAATGGCAGCCATTGTGAGAAACAAATTCAGTAAAACATTTATAAAAACAACTTGTTTGATATCAAAAACTATTAAATGTAATACATCAATGCCCCTACTTCTGTGCAAACCAGAATCTGATCAGGTGTAGAAATTGATAATACAAAACTAGGAAGTAAACACATGAGTACTATCTGTGGAGAGTCTCCAGTATGGCAGTGATTCGTAACTGGGCGCACAGAGACAGGATGCATGGATGGACACCGATAAAATGGCAGGGACATAAAAACATTCCATGAATTAATGTAGACACTCATTATATCAAACAAACTGATCTACATCTATTGAATACAAAATTCTACATAAAATAGGTTATGTTACAGATTGGTTTGTGATAAGGCAATTTGGAATGAAAATATAATGATTATGAAAGCTAAATGTATCTGTGCTTGGCAACTCTACAACAAATTCAATTATAAGTTTTTAGAAAATTCAATTTTTTGTTATTTCTGTTGCAATGATAAGTTTTTACAAGTAGGCCCACATGTGTATCAGGATGTGACTGTCTTTAGAGAATTAGAAAATACTGGTAACAATTTAAGTCAGACTAACTCGTCAACTTTTACTTCCTCAAAGGTCAATTAATAGAACACACCTGAGTGTGTAAAAACCCTTCAAAGGATCTGCGCTTACACTGTCTGTCGTATAAATATTCTACTGACAAAGAAACCCTGTCATGAAAAATAGAATTAGAAAGTGACGAGTACACAGGGTGAAGTATTGATGTCACATGAACTCATAATACCTAGATGTAGAATTTTAGATGGATATTACTTGGTATCAGCTTCAGAACTTTCACATTAAAATCCACAGACTGTCCTGTCATAGCAGGTTTTAAGTCCCTTGGTAGTTATACAGGAAATAATCGTACATAAAAAAAAACCCAATCAAATCAGCTCCAACAATATTCACCTAGGGTTGCAATTACTAGGGACATTAGTGTCAGAATCTTGATTCCCCGTGGGACCTGTTCAAATAGAAAATTCTTTTGCTTGGGAACACAAAATTTACATTACATTATAATGTATGGCAAGAAATGTCACTGTAGCTGGCTTCCCAAAATACACCATTATGTTTCTAATTTTACAGGTTAACTTCCCTGAAGAGATATATCTCTTCGTATAGAGTGACCTCCTCTTGCAGAAAGAAGAATGATTTCCTCTTGGAGTTATTTCCCCTGATAGAATTGTTACCTACAGTAAACTGATCTGCTCCTGTAGAGTTATCTCCTCTTTCTGTAACTTTGTGTTTTTTCTCCAGCAATATCATTATATCCAACAGGAGGTGATCTATCCTGTTTTATTTAGAATTACCTCCCTTTTGTCCCTTATTCTCCTTTGTAGATTGGGGGCTGTATCCTCAAATTAAGAATTACCTCCCTTATGTCCCTTAATTTCCTTTATAGATTGACCTCCTTCATTACCATAACCTTAATTTGTTAATTGAGATATCCTACCTTTAGAATTATCTCCCTTAATTTCGCTGTGTATACTTATTCTCTGAGTAATCTATAAGCTCTTTCTATATAATATTGCCCTCCATTTGTTACAAATGAAACGTATAATACAAGAGTACTTTGTGATTTCTTATTTCATTACAAGTAAGCATATTTGTTTGAAGCTGTTGCCATGGAAACTTTAAAACCTAAACCTACAGGCTACGTTTGTACTCTGGTTAAACCTCAGATAATAGTAAGTAATCTATTGACTGTAAAAACAATTATCTTGACTTTCTCTAACATAGAAACTGTATGTACATGCCAAACATGACTGTGATCTGCTCAGCACATTATTGTCTGTATACTGCTGTGTTTACAGTGGCAGGCTGGTAACAGAGAGATCCGTTTGGAGAGAGATTGGAATTCCCAACTTGGTTGATTTTACGCATTCAGTGAATCTGTATCCCTGGAGATAGCATGATAAACGCAGGGGTGATAGAGCAATGAAATGGTGCTAATATGACAAAGTCACAAGCAGTAATCACAATATGGCTTACCGGGTCCAATTATCTGGGGATACTTTATACAGAAATATACATCAACCATTCAGAGGGTACAAAACACTTAAGAAAAGATTAATCCAAACAGGAAAGTGACATACTGATAATAATACCAATCTGCCAGAAAAAATATCTTGTAGGTGGGCCAGCCTATAAGGCACAGAATTTAACAGGGGAGATAATTCTGCAAAAGTCCGCTGTAATCAGTGAGATATTTGATAAAAAAATAACTATTTAAAAAATATAAAAGTATATCATTGTGGTTACCTTGACATATCTGTGACCTTAACATGTGCCTAAGTGACCCTGACCACAGTGATCTTGATTCATCCATCTGTGACACATACCGGCTCATCTGCGACCAGTTCATGCACCTGAATGCTTACCATATTTGGCTGCCATCCATCTGTGTTGATACACTTGTCAATACACCACCAGAAATCTTCCTCTGTCTCTCCCTTCCAGGCATATATAGGGAATCCTGCTTCAGCCAGGGCAGCAGCGACCTCATTCTGTAACATTCAAATCAAGGTCATGCAATGTCACACAGAAGTAATCTCATTCTATAATATATAAGTAGGTATATAAACAGCATGTCACACAGCAGTGACCTCAATCTACAACATACAAGGAGGTAACAGCATGTCACACAGCAGTGACCTCAATCTACAACATACAAGGAAGTAACAGCATGTCACACAGCAGTGACCTCAATCTACAACATACAAGGAGGTAACAGCATGTCACACAGCAGTGACCTCAATCTACAACATACAAGGAGGTAACAGCATGTCACACAGCAGTGACCTCAATCTACAACATACAAGGAAGTAACAGCATGTCACACAGCAGTGACCTCAATCTACAACATACAAGGATGTAACAGCATGTCACACAGCAGTGACCTCAATCTACATCACACAAGGAGGTAACATGATGTCACACAACAGTGACCTCAATCTACAACATACAAGGAGGTAACAGGATGTCACAGCAGTGACCTTTGACCTACAAACCTGACAGATGACCACCAAATCATATCTAGTATGGACCTGATAGTGTGACACTATGGTGTGAATATATAAGTAAATTGTCAAAAGGTTCATCAGGTTGTGTACACTAGCATTTAATTCAAAAGTGGTGAGAATATGAACTAAATCTTATCATGGACACATATACTTTGGCATGTGTGCACACATATACTCTGGCATGTGTGCACACATATACTCTGACAGGTGTGCACACATATACTTTGGCATGTGTGTACACATATACTCTGGCATGTGTGCACACATATACTTTGGCATGTGTGCACACATATACTTTGGCATGTGTGCACACATATACTCTGACAGGTGTGCACACATATACTTTGGCATGTGTGTACACATATACTCTGGCATGTGTGCACACATGCACAGATGCATGTACTATTGAACAGATAAAGTGATTACTCTCATTACCTCTTGATTAAGTGATAAATGAAAAATCTGTCGTATTTTTACTTTCTGAGGCTGTTCAAACAACTTTAATCAACAAACAAACAACTTCAAACGGAACAATAAAAGGCTTAATACCAGAGCCAATACATTAAAACGTAGAAGTGAATGTTATAAAATATTATTGATTTTCAGCTGGTCTATATAGAATATACCTGATAGAAATATAGGAAGGATGATCAAACAGCATTAATCATATCCAGTTCAGGAGATGCTGTTCCTGTTATACTAGGTTTAACGGACACAGAACAGCGAGATCTCAAGAGTTACAATGCTGATTCATAAATGACAGGTTCCTGTTCTGGCAATCAATTCTACCTAATCAACACCATTGATGGAACTGGACTGGCTCTCCCTGACCACCAAATCAGTACCAACCTCCCAACCAGCATCATTTTGTTTTATATCCACCATGACTAATTGGTAAGTGTAAATCATCATAGGCAAGCAATGTAGAATAGAAAGCACTCTCAGGGATGGACAATTCACCTCAACAGAAATAAAGAACCAGTAAACAAGAGAAGGTTAAATGTGAATCGGAGAAATACATCCGACCGTAGATAGAACTGCTCACCAAATTGATTCTTCTATTCTCAACATAGGAAAAGGTCACACCAACATACCAAGATCTATTCTTAACAGAAGAAAAGAAATCAAATTTGCCTTGAACTGAACCCAGTGTCTGCCAAGAATTCTGAGGAGTTTTGGGATCTTGTCACTAGATTCTGTCTCCAGAACTGGAGCTGACTTATAGAGGACGTATAATAACCCAAATATATTGTCACATAAAATAAACTGATAAATTTTCGGCTTGGCTTTACACCTTCTTTTTTCTGTTCCAGTAAAGAGATTGGCCAGGAATTGTCGTTTTGTGAGAACTATAGTGTTAAGCCTAACTGCTATTTATATCAACCTATTTATTCTGTCCTTATAAGGGATGACCAATATCACCATTCAAAGGAATCAAGGCAACCAGTCAATAACACAAGTATATCATCCATCGTCTTAGAATAGATGGATAAAACAAGAGGCCCAACTGGCCTGCATTGCTTACTGATATTCAATGTGCATCAAAACAGAATTTTTCTTCATCATAAGTACTTTAATATGTACACCAGTCACATTTAAAGTGGCAAATACAGTCAATTTTAACCAATATCCACAACAGACAGTGTCAAATACTCAACTCTAAAAAGTGACAGTTATGATCTGGATTATAGGTAAATGTCATCGTTTTTTTTCTCAAACTTTTTAAAGTTGAATTGACCAAGAAACACCTTTCCATCAAATATTCAGCTTCATGGACTTTTGGTTTACTAGAAGAAGTCTAGTACAGGTTTTGACTATTTGACCTTTGTGACCTTGAATATGGTTCAAGGTCATTTCTTTTTTTTCAATCAGGCTTCACTCCAATGATCTTGCTACCAGCTTCTGGGCCTTTTAGTTAGTCAGGAGAAGTTGTATAAAGGTTTTCACAAATTCAACTCATGTGATCTTGAATAAGGATGAAGGTCATTTCTTTTTAAATCTGACTTCAACCTAGGAGCCTATTAGCCAAATTTCATGCTTCTGTGCATTTTGGTAGAATATGGGTTAAGGTCTTTTTTAAAAATTGTTTTTCGTAAACTTTGTCGGCTTCATCATATTAGCTAAAATCAAAATCCTGCTTCTGTGTCTTTTTGTTGGTCAGAAGAAGTCACAAGCCAAGTAACATTCAGGCAAGTCCACAACAGAATGTCACAGACAGGACAAGTCCACAACAGAATGTCACAGACAGGACAAAATCATGACAGAATGTCACAGACAGGACAAAATCATGACAGAATGTCACAGACAGGACAAAATCATGACAGAATGTCACAGACAGGACAAAACCACAACAGAATGTCACAGACAGGACAAGTCCACAACAGAATGTCACAGACAGGACAAGTCCACAACAGAATGTCACAGACAGGACAAGTCCACAACAGAATGTCACAGACAGGACAAGTCCACAACAGAATGTCACAGACAGGACAAGTCCACAACAGAATGTCACAGACAGGACAAGTCCACAACAGAATGTCACAGACAGGACAAAACCATGACAGAATGTCACAGACAGGACAAGTCCACAACAGAATGTCACAGACAGGACAAAACCATGACAGAATGTCACAGACAGGACAAGTCCACAACAGAATGTCACAGACAGGACAAGTCCACAACAGAATGTCACAGACAGGACAAGTTCACAACAGAATGTCACAGACAGGACAAAACCATGACAGAATGTCACAGACAGGACAAGTCCACAACAGAATGTCACAGACAGGACAAGTCCACAACAGATTGTCACAGACAGGACAAAACCACAACAGAATGTCACAGACAGGACAAGTTCACAACAGAATGTCACAAACAGGACAAGTCCACAACAGAATGTCACAGACAGGACAAAACCATGACAGAATGTCACAGACAGGACAAGTCCACAACAGAATGTCACAAACAGGACAAGTCCACAACAGAATGTCACAGACAGGACATGTCCACAACAGAATGTCACAGACAGGACAAAACCATGACAGAATGTCACAGACAGGACAAGTCCACAACAGAATGTCACAGACAGGACAAGTCCACAACAGAATGTCACAGACAGGACAAGTCCACAACAGAATGTCACAGACAGGACAAGTCCACAACAGAATGTCACAGACAGGACAAGTCCACAACAGAATGTCACAGACAGGACAAAACCACAACAGAATGTCACAGACAGGACAAGTCCAAAACAGGACCATGACAGAATGTCAAGAAAGTTGATGTCTTCTTGAAGAACACATATAACAGAGGCTGGAGACATTTGATGACTTTTCACAGGACATCAAGGTGTCAACCATACACTATTTTTAGATAATGTAATCAGTGACATTTTACAAACAGCTCCATCTGGTGTCTGTGGATTCAGAATAATTGGTTTCAATTTTTTGTGTAATTCCTAAAATTGGTACCACAAGACAGGTGGTCTTAATGTTAGAAACAGCATTATTGATTTACTAGCGGACAAACCTTGTAACTAATTAAATTTGGCATGCCTGCATTTTCTTCAAGTTGTCATATATGATTCCTGTCGGGAAATGTTAGTGATCACCATCGATCACTCTGTAACAGCTACCAGCACAGGAAGATGACTACTATTTATCAATTCATTAGCAAGCTTCCACTCCATCCCTTCCTAGGAAATTATTCAACACAGGAATATTGTATTGGTGGTAACTAATATCCAGCAAAAAACCATTTAGTGAAACTGTTCTGATTTTGGTGGTTTACAATCCTCCAATAATGTCCTGTAGTCGCAGTAAGCAAGTTTCCAAAACTCTCCATACAGATACAATAGTTAACAAAACACAATGGTTCTCATCATACCAAATAAGACACATACAACAAAATAACAATATACAGAAGTACCCTTGATACCGAACAAGACACACACAACAAAATAACAATATACAGAAGTACCCTTGATACCAAATAAGACACATACAACAAAATAACAATATACAGAAGTACCCTTGATACCAAATAAGACACATACAACAAAATAACAATATACAGAAGTACCCTTGATACCAAATAAGACACATACAACAAAATAACAATATACAGAAGTTCTCTTGATACAGAACAAGACACATACTACAAAATAACAATATACAGAAGTACCCTTGATACCAAATAAGACACATACAACAAAATAACAATATACAGAAGTACCCTTGATACCAAATAAGACACATACAACAAAATAACAATATACAGAAGTACCCTTGATACCAAATAAGACACATACAACAAAATAACAATATACAGAAGTACCCTTGATACCAAATAAGACACATACAACAAAATAACAATATACAGAAGTACCCTTGATACCAAATAAGACACATACAACAAAATAACAATATACAGAAGTACCCTTGATACCAAATAAGACACATACAACAAAATAACAATATACAGAA